GATCCCTTTGCGTGGATGTTACTCTCCCGAAGAGTTCATAGCAGAGTTTCCTGCCAACCCCGACACGATGCTTAGCTGATACGGTGAACTTTCCGAGGTCTCAAGAACATGGTCGATTCGGAGGGCGTTTCGAAGCTCATGGGACCGACACTGGCTTTCTTCAGGTTTCATACTGAGCGGTGATCTCGCTCGACGAAGATTAAAATACGGCTAGGTCACTTGGATGCCGCTTCAAATCTCTGAGGGCTCGACTAGCAGTTCGCCCCCCCCCCTAATCACAAAGCTATTCTGAGCTGTTTCATGTTTGTCAGATATATATTAAGGGTTCTTGTTCCAACCTTTCCTGTCTTGTCCGTGAAACTTATTTTGATAACCTCATTTACCAGCTTCCTGGACAAGTTTTTCTATTGCCATCTGATGTGCCCGCAATCCAGTTTGACATGAAGATCGGTCATTCAAAGTCTTCGTAATCATCCTCTTCTTCAGCATGACATCATTGTTCAATACGGATGCTTCGCTGCGACACATTTTTAAAGGTAGCGGAAACGCACGACGAGGCAACTCAGCCAAAGGATGAAGGAACACAATCCACTTTGGCTAGCTTTTGGAACTAAGAGGACGACAGTCAGCTTAGTCGTGAACCCCGTAGCAAATACGGTACAGAGTGTTACGGGGGCGACATGCCTGAGTGGTTAGAGCGCGAATTTACTGACCGGAAGGTTCGTGGTTCGAGCCCGACCTCTACCTCCGACTTCCTCTCCCCAATCTAAATAACGTGGGTAAAACATCACTCTTTTTGGTAAACGTAACTTCTGAGTGCGCCATAAATGGCAGAGCCACCTCAGGTTTTGGTACCGGATGTATTCTTTTAACGAATCTACCGGGTGCACAAGCGAACACTCGTTTTTCAGTTGCTTCATCCCGGATTGGCCGAGCTGGATCCTGAGACAACCATTGTCAAAGACCCAAAGAAATTTTATTTTTGTTTGTTGGACTTGCCATGGTCCTCCAACACACACACACATACACAATGTATTGAACACAACCACAGCACTGTCTGCATTGACAAACTCAGGTCATCCTATTGATGACTTGAACTGGTTGTTCCATGACAAGCCATTGCTCATTCGGCTTCCTGTTTCAGGTACACCGTGCTCATTAAACTGTATTAAGTACGGCTGTCTCAGTCTTTGCTATTGTATGACTTGAAAAGACCTTGCTGAAAACATGTTCGTCAACCCATCTGTGTTCTTATACCTAGAACGTTTGATAAAAAAAACTGGCATAGGAGCGACCAAGTTACTTACCAGAATGACAGGATGACGATTGTTCAAACGAGAGTCGGTGCACAACCGAAGACTCGTTTTTCAGTTGCTTCATCCCGGATTGGCCGAGCTGGATCCTGAGACAACCATTGTCAAAGACCCAAAGAAATTTTATTTTTGTTTTTCACAGAGGACACGCCTCATACAACTAAACAATCCGTACTGTGGGCTAATACCCACGTCCCTAGAGCTATTGGTTATACCGCCCTACTGCCATAGACGTTTCAAATTAGTAAACGCAACCCGAGTCCCAGAAAGCCCTTGACTGTTCTGGCTCGCATTCTTCGATAGCCCTGAAACCTCCATCGTTTGTGTTACCCTAATTAGTAATTTCTCTTGTCCCATCCTAAGGCCAGTGCTTTATTTCGCTCCACACGAACTGATCGATATGAGTGGTGATCGTTCCTCCTATTGTTTTGATGGGGGATCCTGTTAGCACTTCAGGAAAATGCGCACAAGAACTATTTGTGAACTAAGTGATGAATTGTGAAACGATTTCCTGTTGAAGCTCAGCTGTTCGTGAATAGTGCACTTTTCACAGGTGTAGAATAACCATTTCAACTTTTGCTTCTCTCCTGGGCACCTTTTGCTGTCCGAGGACTTGGATACCTCGGGATGCTCAGTGGTTTAGACGCGAACTTGGTGACTGGCAGATCTGTGGTTCGAACCCAACCCCGGTTTGTTGACAGTTCCCATCGCGGCTCGGACAACCTCTCAGTCCTCGTGCTTCCTTCGGCAGCTAGTCACCGGAAGAATGCCACAGCCGAACGATTATTATTTATTTATTATTTCAGCCCTTATGTTTCTCCTTTGGGCGGCGTGACAGCTAAGCACCGAACGAGTTTCACGGCTGAACAACGATGAAGACTTGGATGAACTAATTCCGTTTAGCCTCCATTTTCACTTCACTTGACAAAATCTATAAGTAGTGTAGTGAATGTTACCCAGCTTGCAATGTTATCGATGCTCATTTCAAAGGACATTTGGTTTGTACGATCCCCCCTCATACACACATCTGCTTTCCGGACAGGTTGTTGTGGTCGTGATCGCCTGTGTTTTCGCCAGCTTCTTCTTTCCCGGATTCCCAGTCCCGGTTCCCAGAGCGAACACAATTGTGTACAATTCTTCCGTTCCGTCCAACAAAACCATCTATGCGAATTTCACCGGCCTTAGCTTGGAAACGTTGCGCACTAATCTGATGCGTAAGTCATTGTTTTATGTGTGCTGTTGTTCTTGTCTCTCACGTCTTGTTAGTTGCATGCGTCAAAAAAAGAACGATTGCGATTTCACAAAACTGTGGTACGATTGTTAAAGTAATTGTTACATCTTAGTTGACGGTACCAAAGGTCAAAAAGGCTATGAACCATGACCGTGAGTTGATTTTGCCGAACCTTGTTTGTGCTTAACTGAATCCGTTGGATTTACGTGGTGAGATGAAATTCGGCAAATTCAAAGGTCGCTCGGTCGCGCAGAACAGAATTCTGAACGCTGTTTCAATGACATAATTCGCTGTGGCCAAATGCTTCCAGATTAGCGAGGATTGGGTTTGACGATTACATGACATTTACTGCCTCGTCGTTCGAGGCTTGTGGTGTGATCAATCTCATCACCCGATCGTGAACGCGTTCGTCTGGTCAGGCGTGACAACTCAGACATGTTCAGTGTGTGCTGGCGAACATGCTCCCGTGATCAATCTCATCACCCGAGCATGAACGTGTTCGTCTGGTCAGGCGTGACAATGTTCAGTGTGTGCTGGCGAACATGCTCCCCCGCATGTTAGTTTTCCGGAGTTCAAACCCCGATGTAGCCAGCGATAGGTACTGCTGAGGGAAACTCGAGTCCAGTGTTCTCCCCATATGATCTGGACTCATGAGAGTTATTGTGCCAGGACAGGAGGACAACAATTCGACATGGAAGTGATGTGGACGTGAGTTACAAAGTCGACTTCCCAGTGCCACTGTGAAATGTGGTCAGAGGCCTACCGAGCCAACAACCATTCCCTTCTGCCTTTGTAAAGGTGAACTAATGGCCTGTGAAACCAAATATTCGAGCAAAGTAACCTGTTCTAAACCAATTAATCTAGTGAACAAAACTCAGTGGAGATGAGCAGACAGACAGCTAGAGCTGAAACAATTTTGTGAGTTGGTGTGCCCGTTTTTTGGTCACCCTTGTTAGACACTCGAAAAAAAGCTTTTGTGGCTTGCTTTGAGTTCCAGCTCACAGTGAACATTAAGGCCTTCCGCGTATAGTCAATTGCAAGCGAGATTCCTTTGAGGTACTCTTCCTCTCCTCGTCACGTACTACTTAAGCAAATATAAGTGCGATCTTGGGCAATTGATGTTGAGCTCTAAAACTGTGGGCACCAAATTGCAACTGGATGTGTTACTCCTGTACTATAGGATTCCATTACCGTAGTGTTACCTATCAGCGGCATGGTCGCTGCTACACGCGACTTGAGAATGAGCGCACAAACCTCTAGCAACGAGGTGATCCCGAACACTTCTAGCTTAGAAAAGGAAAAGACTCCGGACATCTGATACCCCAGATGAGCGTGTTACCCTGCTCCACCAGCGCACGTTGGACACCTCTGAATCTTCACGTTTAAACAGACAAACGTGTTCACCCTTGAGCGATGTGATTGGTGTGCCCGACCCATCATCGAACCTAGTAGCTGCCCTGGTTGTGACGATCGATTGACCCGCCTGCCAGGACTTCCCATGCAGGTAGCGTCACAGGTACTTAAAACCCGCTGGACAACTTTATTATTTCTGTTGCGGGGCTTACCGAATACGTATTGTTCATATCCCCAACATATAATTTACAGACTGGACCGTTTTAAACTTGAGCGAGGTGGCCCAAATGGTTAGAGCGCGAATTTACTGACCAAAAGGTCCGTGGTTCGAACCCAACCTCTGCCTCTTGACTTCCTCTGTCTGGGCTTGGGCAACATGGCGGTATCCCAGCCCTCGTTCAATCTTCGGGTGGCATGGCAGCTAGGCACCGAAAGGTGCTACAGCTGAACGTTCTTTTTCACCAGTACCCAACGCTGTCTCTAGGCTCGCTGGTTATAGTTTGTGTAGCCTGCTCTGTACGTCAAGGACAAAATGGGAAGCTACTAACCTCCCAAGCTCCGTGGTTCGAATCCAACTGTGTCATCTCGCCTTCTCCTTTCTAGGCTTGGGTAGCCTGGCGTGACACCGAAAGGGTGTTACAATCGAGCACCCGTGTTTTTTGCCGTTATGTAATGTACCGGAATATACTCTGAAACAATCTTGGTACGGACCCCGACTTCCAGAATTTCTTTTTCGAATTTTTTTTGAAAAGGTTCCATAGCAAAACCTTTTTCTACATGAGAAAGTCCCACAAATCGCTTACAACGATCGGTAAACAACTTCCATGCACCAAACGGACCAAAGTGCACTCTAGAACAAATTCTAGACTTCTGCTACGCCGGTAACACACTTTTCTCCAAGTCACAAAGTAGGATTTGAAATGGACCACTGTGTTGGTTTTTACGACACGGCGCCATATCAACCCACTGTGTTCGTCGTTTTTAGTAAAGCTACTTGTGTAAACACCAATTCACTTATTGATTTGTGCAATGCGCGGATAGAAGAGTCCCGCACTTTTGGCGTGTGCCGATCGGTTTGTTGCCGAAACCATGTCCACTACCATGACATCGAACCAGTCTGCTAGTAGTAAGAGGAGATTTGGGAATTTTAATAGAGACTCCATTCCTTCAGTGTAACCAATGTATGCGGAAAAGCCGAGAAACAGTGTACAACTATTTATCTTTATTGAAAATTATCATCAGCGCCCGCATCTCACGACGATGTAGCAGAGAGTCTCGAACTTATGATCTCCCGGTTAGTGGTTTGAAAACCTAACCGTTCAGCAATGAGCCGCTTAGCAGCAGTGTGATGGGACTAGGTGCCATTCGGCACTTCTCGACTTTTCTGGGAACCTTGGCTTCACTCGTTAGACGAAATCCCCATAAACAAACCAGTTTGCGCGTCGTGGACGTCGTCAGACGAGGCGCGGTTCAATACGTAACCACTTGAGTGATGCGGCTCCTTCGATTGAAGGACGAGTGGTGCTATGTCCTGTCTAAGTCAGAGTTAACCAGAGAGTGGCTGATCAGCCACTCAAGGCCGAACGCCCAAGTGTTCGACTACTGACCGGAAGCTCGCTGGCTGGAAACTCTGAGTTTCGTGAGATGCCGCACTGCTGATGATTCCCAACAAGAGTACAACAGCTGTGCAGTGCTTCACTGACATGATGAAATGGCTATTGAACCTTACCAAATCTCCTCAGGGCACCATTATGTATCTTTCATCTTGTACTCCCAGCAATGAACAAATAGAATGACGTCGTTTGAAATTGCAAGTTGTGCGACTGGGGTGTAGGCAGGCTCAATAATGCCGTATCACTCAAATCGCCGTACGATTATTTTAAAAGTGGCGGATGATAATCGCAAATCAAGTCAATATGTATTCTGTGCTAAGGGCCATGACAACCTTAGACGTCGTAAAAGGTACCCACATGGAGAACGCCTGTAGTCACGTAGAACAACGTTTCATATCGTACATAAAATGTGTGTATAACCTCATTCTCCGTGAGCCCATCATCATGATCCATCGCGGATCTGTCCTCGCTGATTACTACTCTTCTTGGTGTTCGTTATTTTACTGCCTTTTCTCGGTAGTTTTCATTCCGGGGGCCACAACAAACTACTTCGTTGTTATCAAGTTGATGCGACTACTGCCGGACCTCAGTTAGTTCCGGTAGGATGAATTCCCTCAGTTGATTCATCCTTCCTCGTGAAGTTGCGCTTTCTGTTGGCTGTTTCATAGCCCGTCACCTCAACTAGGCTTCCATAGTATTTGCAAACGCCGAATCCTTTTTACCGGTGGCGAGAAGCTTTGTGAGGAATAATGAATCGAATCTGTTGGTATAGGGGATGTTTGAGCACAGACGCACTAAGGATCACGTACCCTGTCGTAGCTTGCTTAAAATGACCCAAACTCTATTCGTTGTGCTCTGTCCGGTAAACAGATTGAAGCCAGTGTCGCGGTTAAAACCATCCATCCCCTTTGTATAGGCTTTGTTTTCGTGTGATTACTAAGCCGAAGTGTTTTTCTGTCTGATCACAGAACGGTTTTCCTGACGAGAAAGATTTACGTTATCCAATAAAACGACTAGCAAAAACCGCTCATAGATGTGTGTTCCCTTCAAAATTGGGAATGTAATATTTTCATGACGGAATATACTACTAATAAGGTTTTTGGAAACTCTTCAAAGGACCACGCTCGGTCTCGTCTTCCTTGGGGCTCATCAGGTAGGCGCATTCCGAGTTTCCGTCCACCCTCTGTTCTACTTGAAGCCAAATTTCATGCGATTTGCACGCTAATTTGGTTTTTCCGTGAGACTCAACTGAATTCAGGTGAATCTCTCGTTGGTGATGTTTTTTTCCATGAACGTACTGCACAAAGGCCGCCTCATTTAGTACGATACTCGAGATATCGCCGTATATTTTCTTCACAAAACGCCAAGGCCTTCGTGGTTCCGTCGATGCAGGCTTCCACCATGTGTGTATCTTCACTGAGGGAGTAGGCCTGACTCTGTATCTCTCTGTGGGATCATGTACACAGGGGGAGAGTAAACTGAACAAATCCATTCATTTGCATATACCTTGGTTTTCACGGCAGACTCATTTGAATCTCTCGTTGTGACAATGTTTCAACTGACTGTCACGTACAAAAGCCGCCTCATATTTCGTTTGTCGAAGAGTTTTCAGCCTCCTTTATGAAAATGGGGACTGTACACCCCATAAACACCGCGATAGAACTCATCATAGTCGTTTGAGTGAACACGATTGTGCAAGTTTGTCGAGTCTTTGCAAGATAGGACAAGTTTGACAGCACGGCTTCTGCATTTCTTGGTACAGGGGACTTGTTAGCGTAGTAAGGTTACTTCCTTTTTGTCTTCCCTTTCAGTTGACATCTTTTCGCATCGATTGGTTTCTCGACAGAACAGGTATTCTTGTTGACATTGCGTGATTCAGTGTTGTTTCCTCGATTGGCGACGAAGCGTGTTTAAACTGAGCTACCTGTTCAACAGTCATTTTGGCTTTCTTGACAAGAATACATTTTGTTCAGCAGTGAATTTAAAAAAAAAATCATAGTTTTGTTGAATGCCGTGCCTGCTGATACCGACGGGCTGCGTTTGCGATGTGTGTGCGGTGGCAAGTCTTCGACGTTCTGTCAACCTCGCCAAAAGCTTTCGCGGTTTCTATTCCAGGCTAGTCGCAGCTGACATCTTTAGAGATCGGCCCCAGGGACACGATCCTAGGAATAGTGTATATGGAGGGAACAGATCCAGCACGAGACCCATGCGACCGGTGAACAAAGTAGTCCTGTGTCGTGCTCCAATACCTCTGATTAGGCCTCCGTGTCGTGCTCCAATACCTCTGATTAGGCCCGCATGCCACAGACAGTGAGTGGATCTCGCCCCCGTGTCATGTTTTTACCATACAAGCTTAAACAGTCTGACCCAGAGTTTATCCGAGATGGCGAGATGGTTAGAGCGCGAATTTACTGGCCGGAAGGTCCATGGTTCGAACCCGCCCCCTACCTCCCGACTTCCCCAACCCTCGTGCAACCTTCGGATGGCATGGCATGAACGGAACGGAGACTATTAAACCAGCCGTTACGGCTGCTGAGTTACTTCGAACGCTACCTTGGGTCCCGCCTATGTGTTTGACATGCACATGTGATTTACTGGGCCGAACTCCTTCATAACTTTCACAATGGACGTGGTTTTGGTATTTTCACAATGCCCTTATAAAAGGAATTTGCACCATACATATTTAGATTGGCCTTGAAAACTGTTTTTTTCTTTAGCAGCAGACCCAAACAACGCACTGTGGAGGATCACGTCATTTCGGCTGAAACGAGAATACCTTCTGACTTTCTGTGCCATTGTAGCATTGTTTTTTTCTCCTGTATGTATGAAACGCGCTAATACACCCTCGTGTCTTCTTGGCTGCTTACCGTTTCACTCTATTGATTGGTCTGTTTTCCCAGCAGGCGGTCGATTGTGTAACGACTGACATAGATTTACTCCTGATTCGGCTTGTATGTGTGTGTGTGTGTGTGTGTGTGTGTGTGTGTGTGTGTGTGTGTGTGTGTGTGTGTGTGTGTGTGTGTGTGTGTGTGTGTGTGTGTGCAGTCATTCATTTTGCTGTGATTTTTGTTAACCCGAGCAGTCGATTGTGCTCATGCAAGGATTGTTTTCTGACGGTGTGCAGCGTAAAAACGCCGGATTAACCGAACTGAAGAGATCTGATAATTGTGTAAGGGAGAGAGTTAGTCCATATCGTGCACCAGCGTGACTAATTATACAGCTATGCATGTTCCTCCTGAAAATTTGACCCACAGAGGAATGCACAATTTTGTCGTATCGACCGTCTTCGGTAGTAGAAATTGCCGTTTTTGGATGGGTTTATTACCTAAGGATCCGGCAATGTACGCGGCCACGTCCTTCTCGGGTTCCTACATAGAATCATTTCCTTTAGGTCATTGTTTAGATTTACATTGTCGATATTTCCGATTGTCTCGCGCACCCCTGGTGCTCTCTAGACGTTGACTTCATTCCGTCAAACTACGAGGGGCTTCCATTCGTCGACCTTGGATGAACAATGCTGACATGCAGCAAACTTCACATAAGGTTCAGAGATGACATCCACGGTAGCTCAGTCGTTGGGGCATCACCCTGGTAGACACCGCATTGTTGGTCTGACCCCTGTTTCGCGGCAGCTGATCACCAGCGCGACTAACCTACAATTATACGGGATCTAGCACCGACATTCGTCATCTATGCAGATTCGTATCATGCATCCAATATTGATAAAAATTGAAATGTTTCAGCGGTGACACCCTTTTGGTGCCAAGGTGCCATGCCACCGGAAGGAAGCACGAAGGCTGGGATGCTACCAGTTTGCCCAGGAGCAGTCGAGGTGCATAGGTTGGATTTGAACCACGGACCTTTCGACCAGAAAGTTCGCGCTGTAACCAATGAGCTATATCGCCCACATCTTGAAGTTATCTTGAAGTCTGTAGTGCGATGCCTATCCCCAGTGTTTACCTTTTCCTTTGTGGTCAGCTTTCCTGTTCAAGAACCACCAAATCCTTTTCACAGTCGAAGGCTATTTTTTCTGTTTAGTGGTATAGTTTTCTGATCTTGTCAATGAATCTATTTGGTTTTCGGATTGCGCACTTGATACGGACAATTGTGTCCACCCCTTCTTTAGTTGGATGAGGCTCAAGATGACTCAGTAGTTAGATCGTGAATTTACTGAACGGAGGGTATCTGATTCGAATCCGACCTCTGCATCTCGATTGATCCTGTTTAGGCTTGGGCAAACTGGTACTATCCCATCCCTCGTGTTTCCTTCGGATGGCATGGCAGCTGGGCGTCGCCAATAAATTTATCCTGATCGGTTGATCGATTGAGCATCGACTAACTTCGTCTCCGCCTCTTTCCATATTCTACTCGCCCTTTTACAGCAATGTACGTTGAGGATTATAATACCGGTACAATGATGTCCTTTGTGGTAGTATTCTCTGTGCTGTTCTCTGGAGTTACTGGCATCATGAACGGTGCGAACATGTCTGGTGAGTTTCTATTTGAGCTCCGTTGTGACTCCCTTTAATGATCAGTTTTTCTGAGACATGCAAATCCTGTGATGTTGCTTTTTTTCATCCCGTTTTGAAGCAACCTCCCAAACCAACTTTAAATTGCCTTTGAAAGGTTCACTTTACTGTCGTTCTTTAGAGCCTCTAGATGGAGTTTTTTCAGAAACCCAACGATTTCAGTAAAACACGGAGAGGCTCTTCTTTGTAGGTGAATTTCGTCCTGTCAGTGAAGCCAGTCTATGCTGAAGAGTCGAGAGGCATTGTGCAACCGTCAGCTTTCCGCATCTCCCAAAACTCAGACAGTTTCGAACCCGCAAACTTCCGGCCAGTGGTTGAGCACTTGACCGTTGGGCCACGAGTAGATGGAAAGCAGTGTGATTAGTTCCCTTCCCTCTTCAGGATAACCCTCTTTGAAAGCACTACCTCTGACTCGCCCTCATCAATTTTTGAAAAAAGTGTCGACCAACTTTTAAGTGATCATCATTCAAACGTAACTATGTATTTTTAAACAACTGTCTCTGCAGCCAGAGATGAATAACAACTGAGCAGTGTTTCACCCAAGCTTCAGTGAACCTCATACAGATGATCAATTTTCCAGCCAGCCGCAGTTATTCTTGACGAAGAGAACAGGTAGTAAACGATGGCTGTTTCGTTAGCTAATTCTGTTCACCCATCCAGTCCTTTGATTTCCTCGGTTCGTGCATCGAGACCGGGCGGCTTGTCCCCCAACCGGTAGTTCTGCCACTGAATTGTTCCATTTTTCGGAGTTGGCACAATCAGTGCTCGGATCCTGTATCCTGTTGTCGATGCTCATTGATTTACCTCATTCAGGGAACCGGGAATCGCTATCAATCGACCGACTGAACTAGCACAAGTCTTCGTAGATCACATGGTCATCTCACCTGAGTAAACTTATCGAACAGCTCTTCTCCGGGGTTTCAAACCCAGTGTGACTGTATTGCGATCGCTATGCACCTGTTTTTCTGTTCATTCTTGCCTAGGCGAGCTGAAAAACCCTGCGCGATCCATTCCCCTGGGAACATTGAGCGCTTGTTTAACTACATTCCTCGTCTACATTACTCTGGCAGTCTTCTCTGCAGCCTCCTGCAGCAGGTGAGTAATCTGTTTTTGGTGTCGGAATGATTCGAATCAACCCAGTCAGATCCGTCCAATTCTTCACGTTCGCTATTTTGTTGTCGCTTAAAAAAGTCCATCTCAAGCGCGTACGTGGACAGACATCATCAGATACATGTTGGGACAAATATATTCGAATCACTTTGTGTCTCTTTTTTCATAAGGAAAACTACTCACAAGGTTGCTGAAAACTCTTCGCCAGCCCACGACAGGTTTCGCCCTCTTTGGGGCTCATCAGACAGGTGCAGTTCCCGAGTATGTCTTGTTGAATGACAAAAGCAACCGGTTTGGTTGTTTGCTCCCATTCACTTTAATTGAAATCCAGTTGAATAAATAAGACAGACCGAATGAATGTCTCACATACTTGAATAGGTCGTTGTGTAAATCAAGCCAATCTATTCTGAAAATCCGAGAAGATTTAGGACACCGCGCTCCGCCCATCCGGCAAGAAGATAATACTGCTGAAACATGTTCATCATGCGTTGCATTACTCATGTCATCATCATCATCACCGACGATCACACGTCATCAGTGTTCAATACCATGATTTATTTGAAAGGGAACTAGTGCTAGTTCACTACAATCATTCCTAGGTGCCTACACCTCCACACACTTATTCAGGCAATTCGGATAGAGTGACAAAAGAACGCCATTGACCTCGGTTGGCAGCCATATCTTGTAGCGTCTCTAACGAGGCGCAGTGAGAAACACGCGGTCCTCATCCTGATTGGCGACAGCACCCAAACGCCTCGTAATCTCTTTCATACCCCTCTGCCAGCTCAAGGGTTGGCCACCTCTCTGAATCGGGCATGGAAAACAGCCCTCTCTTAGGCAAAAGATGGCTCGGCATACGGAATTCATGGCTTATCCAACGCAGCTTCTAGTGCTGGACACAATATTCAATGGCAGTCCCCGTTGCACGACCGAAAAATCGTTTTCTTCTCTCAAATACTCCTTTTAACACGGTTTTTACTCCCTTCATGACCTCCTTTGCCACAAACAACCGCTGTAATGGGTGGCGGTTCCCGATCCGGCAGTCTACTATGGATATCTTGCTGTTTCAATTAAACTCAATCATGGCCGACGCCAGCGCAACCCAGAAAGTGACGGACCAATGAATTCTTTTGATGACACGGTCCCACCCATTGCCTGCTCATTAGAAAACCATGGGAACACTCGCAGAAAGGACGAAATATCCACTTAACTACGCATGTATGCCTTTTCGATTAATGACGAATGGTTTTCGAAGCATTCACGAAGTTTGATAAACAGACCGATAAATAGGTTTCAACTTTACCCACGGTATCAGTATATTGCGTTTTTTAAAAACATGTAAACTTCAACTTCGCCACGTGAAAAATCTCTTAGATAAACGCGCCTTCTCAGTGTATCGGAAAGAACGAGAACAGTCATATGTTTTCTTCAAGTACGTCGGTCCGAGATGGCTCAGTGGTTAGAGTGCGAATTCACTGACCACTAGGTCAGTTATCCCAACCCGACCTCTGCCTCTCGACTTCCCCTGTCTAGGCTTCGGCAACTTGACAGTATCCCAGCCCTCGTGCCTCCTTTGGATGGCATGTCAGCTAGGCACTGAAAGGGTATTACAACTGAACGATTATTATTATTATTACTGGTTAATTATCAACCACTGAGTGAGTACGCCACTTGTCTCAAAATTCCCCCTTTAGTGTCCGTCATCCAACAACACACGCAAACAAACTGCCGTTGCCCTATCGAGTGTGGAGGACTCTGGGCCTAGTTCAATGTGATAGACACATCCGCAAACGGATGCCAACTCACCGTACAATTTTCAGATTACTGTGAATCTATCGTTGGTCGTCGTTTGTCTGGGGCCCCCTTTCAACCCCACATGGCCTCGCGGAGCACAAATGCTGCTATATTCATTGTTATCACTTAAGACTACTAAGCAGCGAGTGAAGTACCCGGGATGGGTTCGAACCACAAACGTCCATCCGGGGATCGATGTGTTAGCTCATAAGATTTCCTGAACTTTTCCTGGTGACTGAAACTAGCTATTCCAGATTCCCAACAGGTATCATCCTATCTGGGTTTCGAGTTTTCTTCTTTCTTTTTTACGCACAGAGAACTCCTTCAACAAAACTATGTTTACATGGAGGGTATCAGCTTCTGGCCACCAGTTGTGGTTATTGGCGTTTTTTCGACTACTCTATCTGCTGCACTGGGTAATCTGATTGGTGCCTCACGAATTCTCGAAGCGGTTGCTCGGGATGAACTGTTTGGTAAGTACTACTTTTTGAACCCCTTGGGGGACGGTCTCAACGCTCGATACCACTGTTGTTGAGCGTTCACTACGTTTGATGATTGGACTGCTTTAACTTTCGGTAAAACCAACTCTTGATGGTAATTCGAGAAAATTTTAGAGTTTTCAACTGAGATTTTGTTGTATAAGTGAAGCCAGTCTACGCTGAACGCTGCGAAGCACCGTTTGCTTATGCACCAAACTTCAGTCAGTTCAGAATTTGCAACCTGTCGCCTCGTAATTTGAATACAGCCGTTCGGCCTGGTTGATCAGAAATGTGATTGACTACCTAGGTAGCTTACCTAGACAGAATATAGCGCCAACCGTCATTCACGTTGTCACGTGTTGATTGACGGGCCGTTTGACTTCTCACTTGCAAGTAAGGCCAAGGAGTTGACAAGTCTCTGTAAATTAGTGAGTGAGTTATAGTTTATACGCGCCCTAGATTGACGCCAGCTCTCCAGGATACCTATAGTGTTGAATCTAACTTGACGTTATGATAATTCCCCCATTCGTTTGCTTACTACGCCTATGTGCTTTTGACCTCCAGTTGTTTTACTTATTCCTACCCGGCACTCACCTTGCCGCAGAGGACATCCTTTCCGACACTTGTGTATTATTGACATGTGTGTCTGTGTGTGAATGTGCGCTGCTGAACCTACGCGTCACTCANTCCGTATCGGATACTTAACATCTATAAATATCGCGGGCCTCATAGAAGCAAACATGGACGGCAAATCGAACGGAAACGGTGTTGTGATAGCCGTCTGCAAAATGGATTCAGGATCAAAAAAAAGAATTGTAGCTAAAAAAAGAACTACTGTGAATATCACAAGGAGTCGTTGGTGTCAGGAAAGGTATGCTGGAAAATCGGACAACCCAGAAAACATCATCAGTTTTCAAAAAACCGATAGGTTTTTTCTCTGTTCCCGCTGAAGTCTTTTTGTGAAAGATGAAACGAACTCAAGAGATGTGATGCAGCCTTCCAAGTGCTGTGTCCGTTTGAGGAAGACGTCCTCACTATCCCCGTGGAGCGAAGGCTTTCATTAAAATGGAGGGTGAAGCCGGGCGCACTAGAATAAAGGCAACCTTGATACGTTGTACCGTGGTCAGTTCTGACCACAACACATTTACACACACTAAACGATCCAGTATTCGTAAAACGCTCGAAAGAGGACATCAAGCTCTTTAAAGAAAAAGACGCAGAAATCCTCACCCTATTGCACGTAAAATTGCGTACTAAAATCTTGCAATCCAAGGTTCACAAACCTGCGTCACGCACTCAGCAAGGGGAAACCGTTGTGCAGGGTCGAACAACACAAATTTTCCAACATGAGTTCACATATTCAGCCAGCAGGTGAAATTCTGTGGCGCCACTTAATTCCTGAGTCCGGCCACCATGCTGCCAGTACTGATAGCAATCATGTAAGAACATGTGGCGCCATCCTTATCGTCATTGGAAACAACACCAGATAAGAATACTGGTTATTCATCACCGTACAGATGAACTGAGCGTCGCAGTCAGAAGAATGATTTCGAAGTCGTAGCGACCAAGTTAACCGTAGACATTGAAGCTAACCGCAATGGGCGGCGAACGGATCTGTCAATCCTACGGGGAAGTCGCAAGCAGTGGAGTGGGGAGCGGAGAACAACTATGTGAAGGAGTCGGGGAGTTGCCGTGGGCGACTTGTTCACTTATCCATCCTACTGTATGCAGCTAGCAAGGAGACCGGGCTAATGAAACCATGCGACGATCAGTGTAGCACGAGATCATGGAGTCGGGGACCGTGGGCGACTTGTTCACTTATCCATCCTACTGTATGCAGCTAGCAAGGAGACCGGGCTAATGAAACCATGCGACGATCGATCAAGCACGAGATCATGAGTTCATGGTTGTATGAGGGCAGCGATCACCCCACTCAGACCAAGACAGGAGGACGATTAGGGTCCTCAACTAATGCCTTTGGCTCAAAAGCTCAAACGTAAGGCGGCGATGGTCGCCATAAGGCCGGCGGAGCAACTTACATTCTTAAAGAGCTATTCGCCATACATATTCAAATTCCCAACATAGAAGAACAGGACACTGTGTTAGTCAGACCTCTAGCCATTGACCAAACCAGTATGAGACTCCGTGAGTGTCAAACGAACACTCTCCAGTGTAGCTTGCTGGATTATGAAAGTGCACAAACCAAGGCAAGTTCCGGTCTCTTCGTGATGGTTTTCAATCCACTGGTAGTACACATCGAAGGTCCCGAGTGTTAAGGAAGTTAATTACATAAGTTGTGGATGTTGTAGCTAACCGAAAACGGTTAGCTACACGTGCGACAACAATGCCACACTCATTTGCGTTAGAGATCATCATCCATTTGACTGAGATGACAAAAAGTAATGAAAACGAAGGACAGATCAGCTCAATTCTAGTGTCCTCTGCTATGTAGGACGGATCAAAGTTTGGTTTTCGCGGCACTGCCTCTCTGTGTTCGGTAACCTTCGAAGGATAAGACCACAGAGCATCTTTGATGCCACATCTACCAGGTTAGCGGTACGGCGATTTTCACGAAATCATTGCGTGCCCCTCTGAAGATAAGGATTACAGTCGATCTACCTCATCCTACAGGAATCTCTTTTTCGCTACAATGAGTTTGGTCAGATTGGTCAGCCGGGGGATCTCCGCTTTCGTTGAAGCTTTTGTTGTAGCTGATGGCTGCATGATTGTTGGGCTTGCCAGAGAATGAGTTCCGTCTAAGCCATAGAAACACAGGCAACGATGGTGCAAGTCCTCGCCAATGAGGTCATGGAAGATGACTGTGGCTGGTATATCACATCTTCACTTGCAGAATTTCTGGCTCATGGTTTGAGTTGATCATTGGTCGAAATCGTAGCATCGCTGGATTCCTCTAGTCTCCTCTATTTAGCAACCATAAAACATTGTTTGCCCTATAACTCTGTAAAAAAAATCCATTCATCCATCGCAATAGTTCAGTTGTAACACCCGTTCGGTGCCATACCATCAGAAAGAAGCACGAGGACCGGGATACTACCAGGTTGCCCAAGCCTAGACAGGTGAGGTCGAGAGGTAGAGGTCGCGTTCGAACCACGGACCTTTCGGTCAGTAAATCCGCGCCCTAACTACTAACTCGAAAATTTTGGATCGCGACTGCAATCAAAAAAGAATGCTATCCGGTGTTCATAGTTAATCGGTTAGGATGACCAAAAAAGCCTAGAGTCCTCTCTTGAACGATGCATGAAGTGACGTACCAAATAGGTGCATTTCAGGTCACGTTGCAAACTATTTCACAGGAAATCGAATAGGTCCCACTTTTTCGGGCCTTTTCAAGCTCCAAGACCGCGGTAGGCAAGGACAAAAGTTCGTGCAAGTATTGTTACACATTTCAGCATGAAAGATCATAGGCCTTACTGACCCCATTTTCAAAAAAAAAAATCCGCACTGAACTTCAGTTTGAGACCAAAATCGAATTCAAGCCCACCCTAGTATTCATCGGATTGACATAGCGTTGGTTGATTGATTTCAAACTACTAACGGGTAGCTCAAGAAACGACTGCAAGTTTCTGACTCCAAGAAAACATAGGACTGAATACTGGTCAAACTTGGACATAAGAGTCTATATGTTAAGTATATAAGCAGGTCTGTCAGTTTAAGAAGAGCCACTAGATGAGCTCAACTTTCTAACTCTGCTTGTTCTTCTAGACGAGGGCGGTGTCCTGGGAAGAAGCTGCGGATGTAAATGCTTCTGTTGAGGGACGAAAAAACCTTGCATCAATGAATGGTACCCATGCAATGTTAGGGATCATCTCATTCATTATCCTATCAATGTCCTCAGTCATTTCCTTCAGTTTCCTGTTATCAAAAGCAGGTGATAACAAGTACTCTATTTGAGGCTTCAAAGTGGCCCAGTTGTCAGGAGGCATGTTAACAAACCACTTTTCCATCTAGGCACGGGTCTTGGCCTCTGCAATGGTTGTTGCATCCTGAGCTGCTTTAATGAACCTCCTGAGAGACCCTAAAGTATCATTAGCATCACCTATGGCAGCTCCAAGAGCTACAGAGTACACAAAGGACAGCAAATATGCTGATTCACTCCAAGCTCTCTTGAAATATCCTTGACACACGTTCAACCTTAGCACACAATGCAGCTTGTCACAGCTTTGCCTTATGGCAGGAACGTATGCCTTATGCAAACCAACCATTGCCTTCATGATGAAACCTGGCAGTGTCATGCAAACTCTTGATAGAGTGATTGTTTTTCTCCTGTCATTTCCTTTCAATCTGTCAGCCAGCGAGTATGTAGTTCTCAGCCCGGATAATCTGACACTTCCTTCTCTAGAGACTGAACCCATGATTTTCCCAATATTGTTTCCTCTGTGCAGGAAAACGACAGACATATTCATCACATCTTCAATCAGTCTCTCCTTTGTTCTTGCTCTCATTACTAAAAAGCCAAAAATGTAGGCTGGGTCAAAACCTTCATATCGATATAAGTCAGCCAGTTCTGACTTGAACGTTGTCTTTAACCCTTCGACGTCAATTTCACTTCGTTTTGCAATGACTGCAGACCAGCCTGCGGAAACCCGAGATTGCTCTACAAACATAGCAACATCATCGATGTAGGCTTCGAGCTCATCCGTTTCTCTTGATGTACTAGGATTGTTTCGTTGTGACATAGCCACTATATGACAAGGTGTCTGTGTGTAAAAATGGCATATAATGCCATATAATGCCATTTTTACACACAGACACCTTGTCATATAGTGGCTATGTCACAACGAAACAATCCTAGTACATCAAGAGAAACGGATGAGCTCGAAGCCTACATCGATGATGTTGCTATGTTTGTAGAGCAATCTCGGGTTTCCGCAGGCTGGTCTGCAGTCATTGCAAAACGAAGTGAAATTGACGTCGAAGGGTTAAAGACAACGTTCAAGTCAGAACTGGCTGACTTATATCGATATGAAGGTTTT